GCAGGAGTCGTACCACGATGCCAGAGGCCCGGAACACTGTGCTTGACTGTGACTGTCCCCCTGAGGTGCCTGCTGTTCAGTGGTCAGAAATCGGCAGTTACAGTATGTCCTGTTAGAATGAGCCAGCAGGAACGATGTGGCCACGGAGGAGTAGGGGAAGGGAAGGATGGAACTGCAGACAGGATGACCAGCCCCGCAGGCACGCCGTTCAGAACGGAGATTGCCTGGCTTGCCTTCAGCGAGCGGACGCTACTGAGTGCCTCGTCCGTGCCACTGCTGAGTTGCCGGGGTCGAATAAAACAACATATACCCTCCGCTACGTATAGCCTGCAGTCTGGTGGGAAAGTCAGATGGTAAAGAAACAAATAATGAAGATGGAGTAGCAATGAAAGTTTCAAGGGAGATATAAGAGGTATCAATAACCATACCAATGTATCAGTTGGATTTTGAGTGAGAGAGATGTCTAGAATAAGTTCACGATTTCTTTGAAAAAAGTCAGAGCTGTTACCACGGATCCAGCTCTCTCCCCAGTTTCTGGAACCTTCTCCTCCATGACTTGGGATAACGCTGGTATGTTTTTAGTAGCATGGGACTTAAGGGCTCAGTGCCCCTCGCCCCTCTCGGGAGGGTGTCCCCTGCTGATCGCTGCACAGGAATGGTGGCCAGGGCCCGATTTTTCAGTGTCTGTTTTAATACTTTGGTCTGAACGAGTATTTATGCTAATTAAATTAGATTTGAACATCGATGGGATGTGAAATTACGGGAGTTGAATTTCGGAATCTTTAAAAGAGAAAAGGCAGCCCTGTAACTGATAGAAAGTTGGACCAGTAAGAATCAAAGTGAAATACCAGAAATGCTTTTGAGTCCTTTCTGTAAAGGTCAGAAGGAGAACAGCTAACAGTGTTAGTTTTATGAATAGTGAGAATTCGTAATGAAGCAGCAATCACACATTTCTGTAGTGACCGTGTCATGCAGTCTGTGGACATTTCCTTAGGTGTAGGATGCTCTAATGGAGTCCTAGAATTGAGACTGGAGGTCACGTTTAAAAGATCGCCTGATACCGTAATTTTCAGTCTGGGGCGCACGCAGATTTCAGGTAAACTCTCTGAAGTTAACAGGATCGGGCCCGGCGTGTCTTCTCATCTGGATTCTGAGAAGAATTCTTGTCAGGTGCACACAGGCCTCTCCAATTAAAGAACCACTTTGATTTTCATGAGGAAACTGAGGCTGGTCAAGGTGTGGAGACTTGCCAGGGTCTTGGATACGTCCTCTCGGAAAGGCAGTTTGCCCTGTGATTTTTTAAAATAGAGATTTAATGGAGAGGCCAGAGTGTCTGTGACCTTGGGGCCAGAGCGCTCCAGCTTTTGGGGAGCCGTGGCTTGTTTCTTCATTGAGAGCTGTCTTGTGATTTAAAATAACAACGTGCCATCATTCAACATGCCATCATTCTTCCACTCTAGTATCGTAGAGCAGTATTTTTAAAGAAATTCTAGGAAGGGTGTTAACTTATTCAGGATTCTGCAGGAAGGAAAGCTCTTTCCTACTGTTTTTTAAGCTCACTTTCACTGACGAGATCAGGCCAGAAAAAGCCTAGCTGGCTGTTGGCCCAGACGACATTCTAATCTTGAAGTGTACTCAGCCTGCACCGCCTGCAGACGGCTACGACTCGCGGGGAAAGCACAGACGCATGCCGAGTGCTGTTCCAGTGCCTTCGATACACCCTTTGCTACGGTCTTCCAGCTGTCAGAAAGGAAAGTTGAAAACAGCCTAGAATGTGACTTCTCCCAAAAGGGTGAAAAGGATAACTTAAAAAAAAAAAAAAAAACTTAAAAATAAAACCAAGCTATTCACAGCTATATCCCCAGCAGCCAAACCAGGGCCTTGCACATAGTAGATGTGTAATAATTTTTTGATGAAAATTATTTCAATTTATTTTGTTATCTGTGTCATATTTCAGAACAAGAATTTTCATTCATCATTAATGCTGAGGGTCACACGGTACTGGCAGGAGAATTAAGTGAGAAAGGACTAATTCAACATTCAGAGGCCTGATTTCAGCCAAGTTTCTTCCATTTATTACGTGCGCTTCGGCCTCATTTTCCTTTTCTTAGAGTATGACAATATCTACTTCTCGGGCTTTGCAGGAATATTAAGTGAAATATAGTACGTGAGAGTGCCTGTTAGACTCTAAAGGGTTATATAAATATTGATGTTATTTGTCTTAGATAACATTCTTAATAATTTGGAAGTATATATCTACTAGAATCATCCTAATTTCTTGAATCCTGTATTTGTTTTAGGTGAGGGAGGAAGTGATCCCATGATTTAAATGCAGTTTTGAATTATAGGATAAAGTACTTTTCAAGGAAGCAGATCACGCATCATTTCCCCCTAATGAACTGTTAGTTGTAGGCAATAGTCTGCAAATAATTAAAGCACTTATTTTTGAACAAAGGAAATATATTGACTATGCATTTGTTAGTTGACTTTGCTTGCTAATTTGTACATAAGAATAAATAGATATCTTTTAGACACCATGTTCTAGGTATTGTGACATGTGCGAAAAGTATACAGCATTTTTCAAAGTAAAAATGGAATATTAACTCTTGAGGTGTTCTGTGATTGGAATTTGGGAATTTGGGATAGAATTTCTGTATAACTACAGCCCTTAGAGATTTGTAATATCCCTCAGTGTAGACACCAAACATTTCTACATAGAGAAACCTGTTTCTACCCAGTGTTTCCCAAACTTATTTAACAAGAAACCCTTTTTCCATTACATCTGTTCGTACGCACTGGAGTATTTTATGAAGCGCTGGTGTGAGGGATGATGGTGTTGACCGCGTGAGTTTAACAGTCTCTTTGGAATTCTAAAGGGAATTCCCTATTACCCTATTTGAAAGCTAAGCAGCTACCACTGCAATTTCATGGAGGCTGAGAAAAGATAGGAGCCTCCTGGGTCAGAGGCAAAGGACGGTTTACTGCGGATGAGAATATCTTCATTTTTTGTGCTGATTCCCGCAGAGCAACCACATCGAGGTTTTGACGTTCGCCTTTTCTGTAGCGCTCTATGTATAGTCTCAGCTATATTTTCAGGGCCTTGTTTTTTTCACTTTTGTTTTTTTAACGAGGTGTTCACGCCTGGGGTCTTCCTTGATGTCTGTATTTACTTCTGTCAGTTCTTTCCGGATACTTCACCTCGAAAATTACGCGTATAGAAATGTGCCGTTTCTCACTATTTATAAGCGAGCGTTTCTTAAATCTTCAGGAAATGCCATTTCCGATTATGCCAGTGATGACAGTGATTTTGGGGAGGTGGAAGGAGTCTCCGTTCTGGGGGTATTTCATTGGCAGTGCTCTTCATTTTTCCCGAAGATTCGTTTTCCTTTCTGTGTCATCTTCCATCAACCTGAAGATCTTCCTTGAGCATTTTCTGCAGAGTAGGTCTGCTGGAAGCAAATTTTCTCGTTTTTAAATCCGAAGGTGACTTCATTTTTTTTCATCATCGGAGGATATTTTCACTGGGAGTAGAATTCCGGGATGCTGTTTTTATTCTCTCGTCACGTGGAAGATGTTCTACTGGTTTCTGCCCTCCGTTGTTTTGATCGAGAGTCATGAGTGATTCAGACCATTGTCCCTGTATGCAGTCTGGCAGCTTTCGAGATTTTCTTTATCTTTGGTTTTCAGCAGTTTGATCGTGATGTGTCTAGGTGTGGCATGTTTTGTATTTATTTTGTTTGAGATTCACTGAGCTTCTTCGTCATGGAAATTTATGTGTGTGTGCCAATTGGGGAAAGTTTGGCTCTTTCTTCAAATATTTTTTCTGCCCCGTCTTTCCTTTCCCTCTGGGATTCTGATTATACACGTTAGATCTTTTGCTACTGTCCCTCAAGAGTGACCTGGTACTATATAAATCTTTCCATTCCGCTTTCTTACTTAAAACCTTCCAATAGCTTCTTATGGCAAATAGAATATAATCCAGAATCTTCAGCATGTCTTTTGAGGCCTTACGATCTGCCCGTGACTGCCTCTCTGACGGCATTGCCTGCCTCGTTCCCCTGACTCACCGTTTCTACCACATCGGGTTTTTTTCCTTCCCCGAGCGTACCAGTCAGCCTTGCCTTTGCCCTTGATGTTTTCTTTACCATGATGCTCTTTCTCCAGACCTTTGCGTGCTGGCTCCCGTGGGTGTCTCCAGGTTACCTCCTCGGAGAGGCTTGTTCTCCTACCCCACCTGAAAACGGCCCCATGTCCTCGGTGGACGCGTACACACACACGCGTGAACACGCATTTTAGACCTGTATCTCTTTTAACAGCTTAATTGAGATATACTTCACATACCGGCAATGCCACTCATCTAAAATAGAGAATTCAGTGGTTTTTCATATATTCACAGACACGTATAACCATCACCATAGTCAATTTTACACTTATCTATCTCAAGCTGTTTTCGAGTACCAAGAACAGAGTCTGCTATATAATGCCTGCTCAATAAATGTTTCTGAGTAGATGACTTCATTAGCTGTAAGATAATTTAGGCATTCACCTTTGGTAAAATGAGAGAAACGTTTATTTGACTGCATTCAGCACCAGAAGTATCCCGTTCTCAGAGCTGGGCTATTCTGAGGGCTCTCTGAAACAGCTTAAGCCATATTTAAGATTTACTGCAGGAAGTTATTTAAAAAATCTCTTTTGACGTGATGAATGGAGGTCATATTTGCGTTCTCCTAGAAGAGAATAGTCATCTTTTACTGACCTGACAGTTGCTGAGGAGCATAAAACCTCTCAGAAATACTGCTTTCCCATTTTCAAAAGTGTTCTGAATATTGTTTATTGGTTTGAAACTTGGAAGTAGCTTGTAGTGTCTCTAGGACGTGTTTTATTTGTGGACGGTAGTGGGAAGTCCGGGAGACTCTGGACGTCCCCTCTGCTTGGGCACCGTCCACGGAGAAGGTCACCTCCGAGCCTGGTTAACCCACATGGCCCCTTCTTCTTGCCAGGCTCTGATGCGGCCTGGAAGAATCGACAGGATCGTCTACGTGCCTTTACCAGATGCAGCGACGAGAAGGGAAATATTTAACCTGCAGTTTCACTCTATGCCGATCAGTCAGGACGTTGATCTGGACGAACTCATCCTCCGCACGGACACGTATTCAGGGGCAGAGGTAAGAGGGTTCTTCCCAGGGTCCCTCGGTGGGAGGAAAGCGGTGACTTGGGGTCCTCGGCGAAAAGACTGCTTGGTGCCCGCTGTTTTAAATAACCATATATCAGGAAATCTTAACACAGGAGGTACACTACATGACAGGCAATCGCTAGATTAAATTGCGTCTTATCTGGCTTTTATTGTATCTCAGTTATTTTTACATATTTCTTAAAATGCGGTCTTCAGAGCAGTAGCATCATACAGTGGAGAGATCACTGGCTGGCAGCAGGAGTCTTCGTTTGGGCTTCTTCATACAGCAGCTTCCAGCCACACTCACGGCTCTGAACTTTTTGACGTCTCGACCTATCAAATGGAAACGATGTGCCACCTACCGCTTTCTCAGAGACCATAAAAGTGAAATTAGGATCTCGTGAGAGCACTCCGAAGTACAGAAGACTTGGCAAAGAGATTGTATTACTGTCCTCTTTGGTCATTTTGGAAAATTATCTCGGTGTACTTGTGTACGAACAAAGATTCTCACATAAAAACTAAAAGGGACAGTTTATTCTTAACCGCGAAAGTACACCCTCAATAAGCGTAGCGGGACCTCTGTGAAAGTATGAGAGTTTGAAGTGTGGCAGATAAACATTTTTCTGTCCTTAGCAACTCTTAGGCTGTTTTTACTTACAAGTTAAAATTCCATTAAAATAATTGTGCATCTTTCTATGTGCATTTCCTCCACACAGAAATATCTTCTGAATACCACTGATACGGGTTCGTATGGGGAGATTAATATTTTCTAAGTAAGAAATGATAGATGCTTTTTATTCTGAATGATCCAGCAGACTGAGACTGCGCGTTCTGTTTTGCTTGCTGCTGTTTTTATCTGCCTTCCGTAAAAACGCAGGACTGACAGATAATAGGTCAGTGGTGGTGCTCAGAGAATCCTTTAAGTCGGTTGACATGTGGAATCGGACTTAGCGTGTCACGCAGTCATAGCTAATAGCAACCACCAAAACAAGGTCCTCGTCTACTCATTGTTTTGTTTCAAGTGTGAACTATGTAAACATGATTCTCCTCCTTTAGGTTTTCAGTCTCATGGCAGGGAAAAGCCATGTAGTAAGTCGCTTGAGAGGCACTTGAAGTACATGTGCATCTAAGTCCTGTCTGCAACTGTAGTCGTAGAGCATCTCTCGGCGTGAACATCCCAACGTTCGAGCGAATGTACAGCTGCTGTTGACTGAGCTACGGCTGTTCTAGAGTTCAGTGTTTGCTGTAGGACCGAGGGCTGGCGTCCTGTACGTGAGGTGTCAGGAAACGGCAAGGGGAAGAAACCATCGGTCTTTCACTTGAGGTGTACAGGAAATGGCAAGGGGAAGAAACCATCGGTCTTTCACTTGAGCTGAGTGGAGTGGAAGAGCAGTTAGCAGGGTATAAACGCGCCTTTCTCACTTTGAAGTAATTTATGGTAGTGACGTGGAACAGAAATCAGAGCCGGCGAGGTCCCGTCGGGCTGGAAGGTGAGGTCTCCCGCGTGGTGCCAGGGTGCGTTGTACCAGCTTGCGGGCTCTTAGGTGGCACATGCCCTATTTAGTCTAAAATAGAAGCGCCTTCCTTTCTGATTAATGCTTGTATCAGATCTTCTAAAAAATAGTCACAAGAAAGGTAACAGAAATTTGTTCTTCCTCAAATTACATTTTTGTGTCTGTAATGCTTGGGTAGGGGAGGGCACCCTCAGTGTTCCCAGTTATAATCAATATATTATTACGACTTCATCGAAATTTTGTTTCAGAGCTGTATCTTAGTAGTTCTGGGGCTTTCTATTTGGACAAGACAGGTCTGTACCACATTTTTTGTGTTTTGGGGAGTGGTCTGAATATTTAGCTAATATACGCAGGTGCCCTATTATTTGAGAACTATTATGATTTTTTTAAAAGTCTTAAAACTAGTAAATAGGAAACATAAGAGAGAAAATTTAGCTTCAGATGAAATAAAAGGTCTCATCTGTTTCCCCTACTCTCCATCAGAGTGGAAATGGTACTGCAATGTTGAGAGCCCACATTCGGTTTGATTTTTTAATAGTAAAACAAATTCAGAGCCAGAACGTCAGTCACCTGACCCCTGCAGGCTCGGTGCCTGACCGCCCCCAGACAGAGGACGTGCCCTTCCACAGAGAACCCACCGCGGGGCGCATATTTAACAAACGCGTCTTAAGCTGAAAAAAAAAAACAAAAGGGAAAAAAAATTTTTGAAAATCATGAACTTACTCCGTAGTATATATTTGACAAACACTTTTAAACTGAAAAAAAGGAAAAAAGATTTTTAAAATTATATTTATAATAAATAGACTTCCATTCTTATTTGTCACAAGGGGAGACCTCTGACTTTGAAGCAGTGTACCCCGCTCCAGGCACAGCCACTTTCTCAGAGTTGCAGAGTGTCTCTGTGCCACTTTTGATATAAAAACAAAAACAGATCAATTAATTGTCTTCACAGGAGAGTAATATAATCAAAATTATATAAAAGTAATTTTATGTAATTGTATGCTATTAGTTGTAGGAACACGAATTTGGCCAGTGATGAGGAAATTGCCGATAGTCTGTTTTTTACGTAAAATGTTAATTTGAAGTATAGTGAGTATTTTATTTTTCATTTTAATGAAAATGTCATAGAGGATGATTGGAATGGAGATGATATAGGCGCTACTTTTAATGGCTGGGATGGGGGGGCACTTTAAAAAAATATTTTCTTTCCACCTAGTGCTTTCTTTGGCTCCGTCAACCTTGTTCCATCAAAACTTACACAGGCCCAGTGTTTGAGTGTCTCCCTGTGCCCTTCGGACTGCTCCGCCCTCTGTCACCGCAGAGGGCACCCAGAGAGCGGACGCATTTCTGTCATCCTCGGGAGAGGTCCCAGGGGAAGTTCTTTGCCCGCTGGAGGGAGAGCGTGGTCACTCGGGAGCAGCCTTGGTGGCTGGCAGGCAGCACCCTTCAGCCATCCCCGCACCCACCACTCCCCCGTGGCCACACCCCATTGTCTCTGGCTTCTTGGCTGTAGGTCCTGGTTAACGGAAAAACATGTTGCCGTTTAAAAGCAGATGGGCATTCAGTTCAGGAGGAAATAAGAAGTCTTTTTTGGTTACAGCTATTGTTTTCTTTCGCTTTGATTTTTATTTTTTAAGTTATTTGTAGCAGATTCCGCTTCATTTTTTTCATTTGTCTTTTATCAAATGATGCTAGTTGCTTTCGGAAAACCTTTGTGTTACCCACCGAGAGGAAACCGACAATCGCTGATGCACATGAAAGCTGTATCTAGATCCATCACCTGTGTGCCCTGTGTTTGGGGACAGGGTGATGAGTAAGAGACATTCCTCTCTGTGTAGGATTTGCTAACGTGGGCCGACAACTGATATCTGTAAAATTGGGGTTGAGTGTTTATTTGTGTTTGAATGTTATTCTTATTTTGGTGATTACCTCATTAAGTGAAATCAAGAACATATCTAAAAGCCAGGAATCAACTGTACATTTTATAAATAATACAGGCGATCAGAGCATTTATTTCCTCTATCAAGATTTGAGGAATTAACTTCCCAGAGGCAAGAAAGTGGAAAAGAAAGAATTTTGATGTCGCAGATGAGTGGACTTTTCATAGGCTTGTGGCTCCGTCCTGTCAGGGTGATTTCATTCAGGTCATGGAACTTCTTCACACCTCCTGTTCCTCATTAGTAAAACGTCCGCGTGACTGAAACGGTTTGAGATTTCAATGAGATAACAGACGTCGAGCGCGGAGAAGCCAGGCCTGACGCAGGAAGAGCCTTGCGGTCGTCGCTGCCCTGGTCCCCGCCTCCTCAGTGTCCCGTTTGGCGCTGTGGCGCTGGCGATGCGGCTGGCAGACGGTGATTTTAATCCCACATAGATGAACTACTCTCTGTGACTTTAAGGTTTGCCCTGAGCCTTTGGGCAGAAATGTTTTGTGAATGGGATGGATTGGAATAGTAAGGGTGTCTTGTACACGAGCACGTCAACCTGCCACGAGGTGCAGCACCTGTACAAGTGGCCACAGCCTGGAAAGTCAGGTGGGGTCAAAAGGGGACAGTCGATCTACATGTCACGGGTGAGCAGGAGTCCCCCAAGTAGAACAGGACAGGAAGAGCCGAGTCAGCACTTACGGCTTCAAACACGCGCTCCTGGGGCGAGTCCTTACCTCGTCAGCTCCGAGCATGGCTGAAATAAGGCTGCCCTGTTGTAAATGAATTATGATAACGACCTTCAGAGCAAAAATGAGAAATATTCAAAGCAAATATTTAAACTGCGCCTGTTAAGCCAGCCACCCCCGCCCCTTTACTATTATTCTACAGTCTACTTACTAAATGGAGAAGTTTGGTAAAAGGTGAGAACTGGACTGTAGTCCCGTCTTGGCCATTCACTACAGCATCGGTCTGGCCAAAGCGTTTATCTCTAGAGCTCCGTTCTTACGCTTTAATAAGGGGTGGGAATAGCCCTGCGGTCCTTTCTAATGCTAAAAGCCCGTGTGGTTATTATGTGCCTGTCCCTGAAGGGTTGCGCCTGCAGATGGGTATGGTTTTCCTCTCAATGCTTCTGAGAGACTTGGGGTCCAGGGATCTTGGTCAGTGTCTGTGAACACTGGTCACTGTGGCCGGAGCCCCTGATCACGGCACCAGAGGACGGGGACCTTGCAAGATGCTTGACAGTGCTCGAATTCAGATTTTAATAAAATTCTCCTTAGCAAACTTTAAAAGAAAGTTGTACTTGCTCAGAGATTCCCAGGCCCAGTGATTTTTTTTTTTTTTTTTTTCCTGAGACCTTTAGTTCTTCTGCTTATCTAGTCAAGTTCAATACCTATGATTCTGGAGGCGTTAGGATAAAAAGTGTTATAAAGTAGAAATATGGAGCAGCCTACTTTTCCCCTAAACTGTTAGGAAAGTAAGTATAATTTTCAAAGTTATAATGTTCATTTTAAGTTACAGTTTTTAAAACCTCCAGTCTGTGGAGAGGTAAACAT